TGTTTTTAAAAACAGCGTTTTGTTGCAGGACGACTTCAGATCCTGTTGTTCTGAGTCGGAGAACTGTTTTTAAACAGTTCTTAAAAGACAGATCTGGGATTTATTTCAGCTTTGAATCCAACAGACTTTATTTATTCTCTTATCTCCACAGTCCTGTAACACTGGAGGTGTTCCCAGACCAGACAGGATCTGATGATTTATGAACTTTTTTCCATGTTGTTAAAAACAGAATAAATTAATCTGAACCATGAAGAGATTTTTTATAAAAAACTGTTTCTGTTCTGCAGCAGATTAAAAATAAACATCTGTACACGACTTAAACCAACTTCTTTATACTGAGAACTGCTCTGTCACTAATAGGAGCAGTGCTATCACACACACACACACACACACACACACACACACGTTTCTATATTCAGTTCCTCCTCAGGAACTGAACTTGACCAACTTCCTGTCCCCCGCTGCCTCTGAATGAGGGACAGATCCAGAACGAGCCGTGGCTTCGAACACAAACTGAACCTCGGAGTTTTCCTGCGACGCTGAAACAAAACCCACAACGAGGACAGAAAATAAAACGACAACAAACTCACGACTTGACGTATTTGACAGGCGGAGCCCCCTTCCCGTCTATGAAGTTGTAGTTGCTCTCGATGACGGCTTTGGTCTTCCCCGTTTCTTCAAACGCAGACTTCATCTCGATGCTGACAAACTTACAGACTGAAGACAGAACAAACTCACGTCAGAATATTATTATTAATAAAAAGGTTTCAGCTTTTAACTATTCAAGTTGTGTATTTGGGTGAAAATTAAAAAAAAAATTATTTCCAAAAGGTTAATATGAGTTTATTAAGGCTGTAAACAATAAAAAAAACAAACTTTAAAACATCAGGAAATACTCCATGAATTACTCTCTTGTTTTGGTCAAACAGCCTGAAATAATAAAATCTTACAGATTTTCTTATCATGTGAAGATAAATTAAATATTACAGCTTATTTTTTAACACCGGATCAAATGTGTCAAACTGGTTCACATGAACAAACTTAACCAAAAAGAAAATAAATCAGTGATAAAATAATTAAATGATCCATCTTTAGAGGTAAAACTTTAACTTTCAAGTCTGAAAAGGTTAACAAATGACATGACTGTAGTTTGTTTTTACACATAAACTAACAAAAATATTTAAAACAGTACTAAATGTTCACAAAAATACATGGAAAATATTGATTTTCAACAGTTTTGAACTCATTTATTTTACTCAAACATGTTTCAGACATTTTAAAAAGCTAATAAATAAACTACAAAACAACAATGAGGGGAAAATCCAGTTTAAAGAGTTTTTCTGTCTATTTTACAACATGAAGCTGATGAGATTTGGTTTTTATGAACCAGCAGTCAGATTTTAATAATAAACTTTTTATTGTATTATTATTTTATTATGTAAAAAGTGTTGAATGTCATATTTTACCTTCACATTTGTTGGGAAGATGAACCCACTCATCGTCGCCTTCGGTTTTCGCTGCTCTCACCGACGAAATTATCAACAAAAACGACAAATACGTCACTAAAATCATCCTTTCTGCTCAAGTCTGGTCTTTATCTCTACAGAAAATCCTTTCAAATAATCAAAATCCTCCTCAGAAAACCGTTATTCCCTCGTTTTCACATCGCCGCCTCTGAAACTTCACAGATGCTAAAAAAAAAACCCCAGCCTGCATCCACTTCCGCTTTGGGCGTGACGCACTTAGAAATACTGACCAATCAGAGATCAAGAAGTGGCAGCAGATTGACCAATGAAGGGCAGAGAAAAGCCGGAGAGTAAAAATATTAAGAGGCATCACTCTGAACCATTTTCAAAAGACAGATTACTTTTTAATGTTAATCAGCTCAACTAGACCGAATAATTTAAAGGATAGATTTGACTGAATTTACTCACAGACACATGAACTGATAAAATATATTTATCTGTTTGTAACTGTTGTGTCAGGAAAAAAATAAAATATTTGTTTAGGATTTTACTATGTATATTTATGTTTACATTTTTATTGTCATCTGTTTTTCATTGTATTGCACACACCTGTTGAATAAGAATGGGTTTGAAAAACAAGAAATGGGTTTTCTTGATATTTCTTTCACACTAGAAAACAAAATCTATTATTTCTCATCAATATCTTGAAGACTTGAAAAAATAGATTACAAACCAAATTATATCTATAGAAAGGTATTTTAAACATAATTTCTGCAATATATAAAATTATAAAACTTAATGTATTTTTAATTTAATTTAGTAAAAAAGAAAAATAAGAATTTTATGTATTTTACTCTTCATCTAAAACTTCAGAAAGCATTTTAAGAGTGACTCATCTCTTCTTTTACAGATCTTTGAATTTAACAACCAGTTTGTCCTGTGAGCCTCAGTTTGATCCAGCAGAGGACGCTGTGCACACATCTAAAGCACTGTCACACTTTGTTATGTAACAGATGTAAAAACATCTGTCTGGCTTTTTTTGTTTTTGTTTCTTTTCTTTCTTTTTTGTATCTGCACGCAGATAATTTAAAATTAAACTTCACATTAATATAACCTCAGCCTCATATCCATGTAAATATGTAGCGTTTGTTGCATTAAACACTGTTTGACCATGTTTTAAAGCCAGCTGAACACACAAACAGAAACAGATGATTTAAACAAACATGTGGCTCTGGTTGGGATGCGAACCAGCAACCTTCTCATTGTGAGACAACAACTCTAACCACCGCTCCAGCGTGCCGCCGTCAACAAGCACAATAAAGTAAAATAGAAATGTTATGTATTTGTAAATAAATTATTATAAATTTACAAGAATATTTTTATCTACAATGTATAAAACTTTTGAAATCAACCCATTTCAAGATGGCTGCCTGAGCCAGCTGAGCTTAGAAAACACAACAACACCTAAAACTCAGCCAGTTTTGCAGATATTGAGCTGAACTTTGGGGTGGTAGATGACTCTGAGCTTTAACACAGGGGCGTCCAGTCCTGGTCCTGGAGGACCACCATCCTGCAAGGTTTCAGAGGTTTCTCTGATTTGAATAAATGAGTGAAAAACAGACTTGTGTGGAACTCGATGAAGTAATTTAATCACTGAATCAAGCATGAAGCTCGATAAAGTTTCCTGATCCACTCCTTTTATTCAGAATTCCTACAAAATGTTTGTGGTTTGAGACTCGGTTTGTGCACGGTCACCGCGAACGTGTTTTTTTTTTTGTGCTCGCTCGTTGGACTGAACCTCGGTGTGAGTGAAAGAGATTTTCACAGCGAGATGAGAGCTCGCTCAGTGCTTCAACAACAGGCCGCTTTCCCTGAGAGGTGCTTCAGTGTGCCGCTGCCTGCCAAAAGGACAGTCAGTTACACACACACACACACACACACACACACAC